TTAAGGCGTTGCATTACTTTGCAACGCCTTAAATCATTGTTGTTATCCGTAATTATTATTGTATCGTCTGCAAAACGTAAGTTATTCAAAACTTCTCCATTGATAGATATACCTTCTATTGAGTCTGAGAGCGCTTCTTGAAATACCGCTTCACTGTAGACATTGAAAAGTAGTGGGGACAGCACGCAACCCTGGCGGACTCCTCTCTGTATTTTGATATTTTCGGTGTACTGGCTGTCAACTCTTACCTTGACAGTTTTATTCCAATATAAATTAGATATAATTTTCAGATCACGACTGTCAATATTTTTGCTTTTTAATATATCTACAAGCTTTTTATGTTGAACTTTATCTAATGCCTTTTCAAAGTCTACAAAACATAAGTACATATCCTGATTCATGTCCATGCATCTCTGAGCCAGCACATTCAAGCCGAACAAAGCATCTCTTGTACTCATACCATTTCTAAAGCCAAATTGTGTGTCACTAATCTCATATTCAAGAGTTTTAACAACTCTGCTGTGAATTATTTTCAAAAATGTTTTAAGTGTGTGACTCATTAAAGCTATTGTTCTGTGGTCTGAGCAAGTTGTTGAACTTGGGTTTTTGGGAATTGCTACAAAAGTGCATCCATTGTCTGGGGATTGTGGCAGTCTGATATATTAGATTAAAGAGTTCAACCATTACATCAATATCATCTTCATCGATGAGTTTTAATAATTCGATGGGCACCTCGTCTGGTCCAGTAGCTTTACCCTCTTTTGTGTTTTTGATGGCATAGATGACTTCTTCTCTTAATATTGGTGGTCCGGTATCCTCGGTGATTTCTAATGACAGTTCTTCTCTTTCATCATTAAATAGTTGTTGAATGTAATTGGTCCAGTGACATAATCTCTCCTTCATATCAGTAATAATATATCAGTAATAATATCCCCTTTATCATTTTAAGGATATTCGTTTTTGTACGCTTTCTAGAACCTGTCATTTCTTTGATTTTTTGTGTAAATTAAAGCTATCGTACTTTTTATCCAGATCTTCTATTTCCTTGCATCTGTCGGAGAGCCACCTCTCTTTTGCCTCTAGGTACCCATATGATTGGCTTATTAAAGTTCCTTGTTAAGCAAATTTTAAATAATTTTGAAGCTCTTGTCACTGATGTTCAAACGGAATTTACTGTTATTCTTTTAATTTTCTTTTTTGCTGTTTAATTTATATAGTTTAACGACATTGGGGTATTTTAATTATTTTGGCAGTTTTTATAAATATGTTTTTAACATTTGGTTTAAAACTGGAAGTACCTGTAGATATTAAACACAGATCATATAAGGTCATTCACTTCAGGAAATCGATAAGGGAAGACCTAAGAAAAGAAGTCATTAAGAGTCATTTTATTGAATCAGAAAATAAATAATTAATCAATAAATCATAATAAATAGCTTTTTAAATGAGGATCATAGTCCCATCTCAAAGTCGATGCTGGCAAAGATTGTTTCAGATAAATAAATATGTTGAATGATATTTCGTACTTCTTGCTTCTAGATTTTTAAAAACTTTATCAAAACTAAAAATTCAATAAAAAATGATAGACATATTTTATTTATTAGATATTACGTACAGTATTTGTATTTTGGAAATAAGAATAACAACAGCTACGTTTAATTTAAAATAATTTGATTATTTTTAAAAATGTCCTTCTTATAATCCAGAGAAATATCTTTGCATGCCTTTGAACTATTTCATACTGCTTGAAACATCTGAAAACATGTTTTCATCAATGACTACAGACGAAAATCGGTATTCTCGCAGTTTATTTATGACATTCGGGAACAAAATTAACACAAAGTCTTTTGGTGTCAAATCAGGACTGTGCAATGGATTACCCAATAATTCGCCTTTTTGAGTGGTCAAGACTTGTTGTTGAACGAGATGTGTCTCAGTTCGAATTGTCTTGTTGAATAATGATCCGGCAGCGCTGGTTTATTTTCCTTATTACCTAGAGCACCTCAAACAAAAAACTTTGTGATATAAGGTTGAATGTTCGAATAAATGAATTATAATCAAATAAAAGGCAGACATCGGGCCCAAATTTTATTATATCTTGCCCAAGTACTGTCGCTCCTAGAATATCTTGAGGACATTTGGTCAAAATTTGGCTATCCAACAATTTGATGAATGTCATAAACATTAACTGATACATTTACACAGCAAATTGATGAAGCTACATAGCTATTGGGAGAAAATAAATCTTCCTCCTGCTAGGAGTTAAAATTTTAAAACTAAAGAAGACTTTACTTAATGGAATAAAGGCCAGTTGTCTGAAAAAGACCATTGTGTGTTTAAATTTCTATAAATATATCACAAAGAAAAACCAATCTCAAGGTTTTCATTACTCTATTTATCGAAAACCCACGCATACTAATCGTTACTTGCATGCAAACTCTCACCATCCACCTTCACAAATTAATTCTATGATGATACAGGTAGACCCGCTGAACTCTTTTGTCCAAAATGGTTACCGCGAAAATCACATCAATAGGAGCATCCACGGACATCAATCTCCCACTCAATCTCAATCCAAAGACTCAGACTCTTTATCATATGAAAGCTTTTCTTTCTTACATCAAAGGTGTCATTGATAAAATCGACAAAATTCTTAAATAATTAACTGGAATAAAAAACAATATTTACCCCCCCCCCCCCCCACCCAACATTAACTTTCATCCCTTGTCCGATCACTAAAAGACAACATTCCAAATGAACAGCACGGACTTTATGAAATTCGTTGTGCAGACTGTCCCCGATACTATATAGGCCAAACAAATCGTAGAATCCAAAATAGGATTTATGAACATTCCATTTATGTTCGCAATTCCGATTCAATTTCAGCTCTAGGTCTACACCATCTTCATACAGGTCATAAAATTGATTTTGAAAATTCCAGAACCATATCCCCTTCTGTAAACCAAGAATTATCCGAGAAGCCATAGAAATATGAAAAAGGCCAAATTGTTTTAATAAAAGAGATGACGCTATACGGTTACCTTCTACATGGAGACCTCGCATAAAAAAATATCGTCCCCTCCATCCTGTAATCAAAAAACCCCTGTCGGAAATGTTCACGGTGATATAAGGTATTGTTTAAGAAGTTCGATGGAATGAAAAGAGTTTTTGACGAAGGATGAAGCGTTTTCGGCAAAAGGTTGTAGGGTTTTGGCCAAATACTTAGGCAATGGTTGCGTAGGGCAGTTCTATGCACTGACAATGGGACGTAGAGGAATATTGGGTTTGTGAATTTTGAGAGGACCATATATTTTAGGTGTTCTAGAAGACTTCTCACAAGGAATTAGAGATTGTTGTATGTCAACAGGAAGAGAGATTTTATTGATAGTGGGCTTTGTTGTTTTCTCCAGGTAGGTTGTTGGGTTATTCGGAATTGGTTTCTAGTCTGGAGTAATAACGATATTTGAGAGTTTATTAATGTAAGAAAAAGTGTTTAGGGTGACGGTGGCGTTACCTTTATCGCCGAGAAGAATGACTAGATTTGGATTTGACTGAAGTTCTTTCAGGGCCTTTTTCCCGGATTGACTAACGTTCTAAGTAGGAGGCTTTGAGTTTATGAGAACTGTAGAGATGTCTTGTCTAGTTATTTCAGCATCTTCGGAAGGAAAACTGGAGATGGCTTCTTCAGTTTGACAATGTCTGATGATTGTCTCAATTGGAATATGACTTTGGGTACAGAGTAATTAAAACCTTTTGCTAAAGCTTGAGTGGCAACGAAAATTCTCAAATCTGGAAGACTTTTAGTAAAAAAAAAAACATAAAGTACATGATGTTACATAAAGTACATTCTTCTTCTTCTTCATGTACCATGTCCTTTCAGAACGTTGGTTACCATCATAGCTATTTTAATTTTATTCACTGCCACCCTAAATAGCATGCTTGTATCTACACCATACCAATCACGCAAGTTCTTCAACCATGAGGTTCTTCTTCGTCCTGGACTGCGTTTGCCTGCTATTTTTCCTTGCATGATATTTTGTAGCAGTCTATATTTGGGACCTCTTTGGGACCTTATGTCCGAAATATTCCATCTTTCTCTGCTTGATGCTTTTTATGATCTCAGTAGTCTTGCTGAGACGTTCTAGTAATGTGGAGTTACGAATCTTCTCCACCCAGGAAACTTTTAAAATTCTTCTATAGCACCACATTTCGAAAGCCTCAAGGCGATTTAGATCGATTTTATTCACAGTCCAGGACTCGACAGCATAAAGTAAGACCGAGAACACGTAGCAGAGAAGTAGGAGGATCCTTAATGCCAGTTTTAGGTGTCTGTTACATAACACCTTGGACATCCTTCTAAAAGCAGCTCTAGCCTGCTCTATTGTGGATCTAATTTCGCCGTGATTTTCTGCATTACAATTTAATTGCTGTCCAAGGTAGACGATTTTATCAACTTGCTCAAGTTTGGTATTATTTACATATATAGACGGTTTTATATTCTGTTGTCTACTTATTACGAGTATTTTGGTTTTCCTTATGTTAAGATTTTAATATTGAGAACTTGTGATTCCACACCATCTAATAAAACTGATGTTGTTTGATTCCAATGTAAATTTGCAATTATTCGAACATCTCTGCCGTCCAAGCCAATGTCTTTTAGTATTGTATAAAGTACATTCCCTGGTTCATATCTAGGGATCCCCAGGACAACATGAGTTTGAACAATGCTTCACTAATGCCAAGACCATTTCGAAATACAAATTGAGTTTTTTAAAACCGTTTTTATCGTCCTGTTAGGCTTATAGGTTTATTTAAACACCAACGGATAATATACACTTAAATCATATATGATTTATAACCAGAATTAGTATTCTTAATTGTTATAAATATCCACTATTATCAGACATTGACTCATTTTCAGATATGTGTACTTTACAAAAAAAATTCACGCCTCCCTCTGTCCTTGTTATCATTTGATTAATATATGTGAATTCTTATAGGATACTGTTCAGCATGCTACCGAAATCATATGGATATCGAGCGACAGAAGAAAACAACCGACCAGTCCAGATCGCAAGTGCCGGGGTTCTCGAAATTCGAAGAAAAGAAAAGGCAACAAACAGATAAAAAGAACAAGTATCTGAAGAGCTTACCTGTATTTAGAAAGTCGTCGAATGTTAAAGGTAAGGTTTTTGTGTATTTTATAGTAAACACATTAAAATGACATTAACGATATTTATTTTTCTTTGTAATGTGCCGGAGACGATACCAAAACAAAACTGTACATTCAACCAACTTACAACTCTTAAACCGATTAATGTAATTTGCAGAAAACCTTGCATTGTAGTAAAAGGAACGGTAAACTCCGCTGGAGTTCTCCATAATCTTTTTAATTACTTAATTTGCTTCAAATATTTTTGCCTTTATTATCAGTTAGATTTATAGATCGGTTTAAAACGTTGTCCTACGTCTTCCTTTACCCAGTTGCCACTTCTCTCGATTCATCCATAAGTCTTCTTTTATGTCTCTGTCTTTCATTTTTCCATAGATGCTTTTTCTCCAACTATGGCGGGGGTCTTCCTCTTCTTTTTCTACCGTGGGGATCCATATTAAGACTTGTTTTGGGAGACATTCTCTATACATGACTGTACTATCTGAGTTGTTGGACAATATCGCCTACTATTGTATATTTTACTTTCATAATGTCTCTTGTTCTGGTGTTCGTTACTCTTTCTAGTCTAAATTTTGCATCTGAACGTCTCCAGAAATCCATTTCCGTTACCTCAAGTTTTCTCTTGTATCTTTCCTTTATTTGCCTTTCTTCACTACTGTAGGTAATTATACTTTTAATGAGTATATTTTACAGAGGGGCCCAAAAATCTGGAAACGGCTAATTATCTCGTAAATTACTAGACATAATTATACAAAATTTGAGATACGCCTATTTTGGGATACGGAGATTCCATATTTGGTATTTGCAATGTTGCCAGATTTTCAGTTTCTCTTATATTACTAGTAACTTTGGTTTTTCAAATGCATCACCCTGTATATTCAGTCATTATTGGAATCTCCTATTAAATACGAGTTCAACCATATGTAACACTTATGATTTTATGTAGTCCTGAAGGTCTTAAATACCTAAAACAGAAGTCTGTCAACGCCTAAATTGTTTCAATACATTTTTTAATACTAACTATTTTCAAATACATTAAAACGTAACAATTGTTAGTTTAGAATATTTTTTAACATCATAGTTACGTTATTAAGTGATCAAAATGTGCTCCATTTGTGAGTTGACAGCACTCTAATCGATGGTATAATGCGTCTACCACATTTCTCCATGATTGTCTAGAAATTATTCGACATTCACCGATAATTCATTGCCTTAGCTATGCAAGACTTGCTGGTTAAGTTTTGTAAACTGAATTTTTCAAGTATCTCTAATAAAAATAATCTTTAGGATTGAGATTGGGTGAACGTGGAGGCCATTCAATTCTACCTTGTCTACCAATTTATCGTCCGGGAAATATCTCATCTAAATAACGCCGAACATTTACACCAACTATCTGACGTTAAATTTCTTTCGATAAAAAATGGCCCAATTAAATAAGTACCTACTATAACTGACCATACATTTAATTTTTGTGGTCTTTGAGTATGGTTTTCACGCATTTAGTGTGAATTTTACACGAGTTCAGCTATTCAATACGAGTTCAACCACAGCCACCTTTACTTCCAAGCCATGAAGTAAAAAAGGCAACACCGCATTCTATGACGTCGGTAGTCCGATAATCAGCTGTAAGGTCTACCAGAATATTAAACTAATTTGAATTTTAGGAAACTGATATTTTGAAAACTTCAATTCATTACAGAAATATTTTTAGGGAAATTAAATTAATAAAACCTTATAAATACCTAGTAAATATATATAAAGTTTTATTATTATTTAGGTTATATTATCAATAAAATAATCACTAGAGTAAAATTTATTGCACTTAAAATACAGTGTCAAATAGTTAATCTTACAATCAAATGCAGTCAAGAATCTCGAGAAATTTTAAATATTAAGTACCTAAGCATATAAATAACACAATACAATAACACGACATTTAAAAAGATTATTAAAAATACAAAAGATATAAAATTTGTGCTAAGTAAAAACTTAGTGTAACTATTATGATTAAAAAATTCATCCTAAGAAATCAGACACAATATAAATATGGTTCTAAATTAATCTAATTGAAAATTAAATATTTTACTATTTAATTATAACTTTTGTTGAATTTTCATACTTAGATATACAAAAGTAGCAATTTTAAATATGAATAGGTTTGTTGTCATATAGACAAAGTTAAAAGAGGTATACATGAAAAATGTGTTGAATGTAACATACCATTTATAACTTGTATATCGATTTAAAATAGCCTATATTATCAAAAGATTTTTTAATGTAATACTCAAATTTGTTATCACTTATCTAAAAAGCAGATCTAAATGAGAAAGTAAGTTCTCTAATTGTGACCATCTTGTTAATTTAATATATTGTAAAATCCATTTCAAATCATTACCACTTAATCTATTCTTACCTACATTAACGATTACACTAAAATTACTGCTAACTATTACACTACATATTACACAAATATTATCACACTTGTGTTCCAACTGATTAATGTTTAATACATAGAAATATACACAGTCACTCGTAATTTTACTTGTCCAGTTTTTAAATGGGATATTATTGTCTAAGTCTAATTGACATAATTATGTTATCTCTTGTTCCCTCTTCTTATGCTAAAAGTTTCTTCTGTCTTCGGGATTCCTTCTTTCTTTAGTACGATGAACAGTTACATATAATGGTACTTCAGGAAATATATTAGGAACTGCATTGCCTTTTAATTTGGGAAATATTAACTTTTCAATGTTCATGAAAATGTTTGGCACATACTACGGAAGATTTGGTAATTGTACAGCCTTCTCTATGAATAGAGCATAAGCCAGTATACCTTCTTTGGGGATCTTTTGGAAACAAAAACATGCTTTCTGCCTGTTTCGTTTTTAAAGTACTGGCATAATTGGTTTTGCAACCAGGTACACAACAATGCCAGAGCATCTGTAACAAAAAACAAAAGTATTATTATTGTTGTTTTTAGTTTACATATTTTGTAACAAGAAGCAAAAGTATTATTATTTTCAGTTTGTTTTGTAGGTTATATTTATACTTGCCTTTTAAATTGTCGTTAAAAATCTTCTAAAAGTTCTAAATTTAATGAAATTTTACTTATATTAATATTTTCTAATTGATTTAAACACAATTTACAAATAAAACATTCGAATAAAGTTAAAAAAACAATAAATTCAACAAACTTTACAAGCCCTCCTATATGAAATGTTAAACCAAAACAAACCACAGTCGGACTACCACGCGTTGTTGCCAAATTTCTACTTCATGGCTTGGAAGTAAAGGTGGCTGTGGTTCAACCATATGTTCACTTGATTTTATGTAGTCTGAAAGATCTTAAATACATAAAACTGTGCAAAATATGTAGATTTTAATAAATTTAAATATTTAAATGGAGAATGCTGTGATTTTGACATTTGTTCGCCATTTAAATTATGAACTAAAATTGACAGTAGTTGTGGTTCAAAAAGCTCTACAATTTAAATTGCTTCTCTAAAATGCCGTTCTCTAAACCGTTCTCCTATTCATAAACGACGGTACAAAAAACTGTAAGGCGATTTGAGGAATCTGTAGAAGTAAAAGATAGATTAAAGAGAGCAAAGTTTATAATGTAAAGTTTACAATGATCCTAAACACATTAAGCAAATTTGTCTAATGATCATAATTACGAATCCAGCTATTTCTTCTACTATCTTATATTTTGATACTCATTTGTCTTACCAGATATCGTTCAAATATAAAATAATATTTCAATATAATTAATTTTTGTGTGAGTGGTATAGAATTTATGATTAATTTTATAAAATAATATCCTTCGGAATTCTTGTTCTGTGTAAGTAATTTATTTATACTCCCAAAAGGCGTTATGTATTTATCATAAAATATCGTTTTTACACGGTGGTGTCACAAAATGACATATTTCTCGATTCAAATAGAGTCCATTGGTTTCTATTATTATTGAGGTCAAGCGATCGAAAAAGTTTTATCCTAATGTGTCAATATTTGTTACTAATACAGAAATTTTCCTACATAAACAATAAAAAAGCCTTGTTCTATATTGTAATAAATGTTGTCAAATTGCTAGCATGTATTGCAGTGTAATAGATAAAGAATTAGATGTCATGTTCAAGAATACTTGAGCAATATGGGTATGCTTAAACAAGTTTAATGTGTTTACAATGAATTTGTTACAAAAGATTTTTCTATTAGTTTCATTATTTTGTTTTGTTACGATAAATCGCTTATATTATGGACAGGGCTTTATAATGTTCAAATGAATACAACTAGAGACAGGCTACAAGTCAACATTTGTCTATTTTTATATTATCCATTTTTGCCAATGATTATTATAAGTAATAAAAAATTTAATCGGTCTCTTTGCTTGATATCTTTTTGAATTTCAAAATTTGGAATAAATTTCTGTAATCACTGGTACTCTATTATGCATCTATCAATTGTACCGTCAAATGGGGTGAAATTGATTACTCTAAAATTATTCATTCAAAAATATAAGTAAATGAGTATAATATGAGTAAATGCTCATCCGCAGAAATCTTTCGCGGAGCAGTTTCCAAAACTACAATTGCCATTTGGATCGCCACCTTTGAAAGGAGACGGCGCCATGAGAAGAAGAAGAAGCATTCTGAAAAAAATATACTGGGGCGACATTGATCCTTGCAATACACAATTTCTTTTCTCCAGATTTATTTTATTCGTACAAAAAAAAAAACAAAAAAATTAGGTTTTACAAACAAAATTTATCAATGATATTAAAGAACCAAAGATCCTTCTTCTTCAACCTATGCCGTCCCTATTAACGGAGATTGACGACCACATTTCCAAAAGTTTCTCTGTCTTTTGCAACGTGGAATAATTCATCTATAGTCATGTTTGTCCAGTCTAAAATATTTCGCAGCTATGACTTCCTCTTTCTTCTTCTTCTTCACGTGCCATCTCCGCTACGAAGGTTGGCTATCATCATGGCAATTTTGACCCTGGAGG